GCAGGAGGATTAGCACTAAAGCTTGATACAAGCCAGTACTGAGTAAGTCACCTGTATTTAAGACTACTTGGAAAATTCAGGCTTAGTAAACACCTACAATAAAATGTCCTGGCCAGAACAGCACATGCTTATCCAACAGATTCTTCTATTCCTCTGAATACTATGCTTCAGTTCTTGACAATTCAAATATTTTAGAGGAAACGTGTACATTTAAATAGAGATTTTTTAAAAAAACATCTGAAGATGAATGAACAAATGGAACAGAATTATGGCTAAAACATGTTTGAAAATGAAATTCTTACTCCTACCGAGGCTACATTAAAAGAGACATAATGACTTGGGCTCATTATTACTACATGCAATTGCTGTTGTTGGGATGTGTATCTTTAAATATGTGAAGGACTGCCACAAAGTTTTATAATACTAGAAGTATTTTGAGTTACTCTTTTCTGCTGTAATTAATCTCTTTAGTACTTAATGTCACAAGAAGGTTTGGAATATATTATTAGTTCTTGAATGCAGCTGTGTTGATTAAGTGTCTGGTTATTTTTGGAACCTGGGAAAACTAGGCAGGGTTGACTAAAATGCTTGGATGAGCCAGAATTCTGATAAAAACCTGGTAGTAGGGGCAACCCCGTATTTGCTGTTCATCCTTTGTCTCTGAGTCTTTGAAAGGAGATAATACAGAGGGATAAAGCACTTTGCTGGTGAAGTAGCCCCACCCCATATATTGCGGTGAGGAGAGAAGGGGGGTGTTGCTTTGCCCCACAGAACTGCCCAGGCACTAGGGATCTTTTCCTCTTGAGATTTGTTTAGCTCTTTGACTTTCTCGTTCTGACAAATGATGAAGGTCATCTTTTTTCTATGGAAAACCTTTGTCACAACTGAATCTTTTGTTTCTGTCTCCTGCTTCAATGTGTTTCTGTATACTATATATAGTGCTGTCTTGTCATAATCAGTTGTCAGCTTGCCTTTTACTTTTTTAACTTTTTGTATTTTGTTCTTTAACTTGGTGTTGAGCAAAGCATAAAATAATGTCTACTAGAGGGCTGTGGGCTTGTGTTTGGGGGATTACAGCACCAGTATTGTTGTCCAAAACCACAAATTGTTGGGGATTACAGCACCCCAAATTTCCCAGTATTGTTGTCCAAAACCACAAATTGTCGTTCTTCTAACATTTACCTTAGCACGTCTTTGATCTGAATCTGATACCCTCACCCCCTATCCTGGCAACAAAAGCTTGCCTCCTGCTATTTATGAAAAGCGGTACATTTCCTTTTCCTCCACACCTCCCGTAGTCTCTAAGAGTTCTGTATCCAGAGAATATTGCAATGAAATAGCTGTGCATATCTGCTCCTTCTAAAAGGGATGCCCCTGTCCAGAGTTCCTGGCAGCAAAGAGTGCCCTTCTCTTCTCAAATATCTTTATAGTGTCAAGCTTAACCAGGTCACCTGCACAGTTCCAGTTTACTTTTCCTCAGCTGAGACTCAGCATTCCATGTTTCTACTGGGTATCCTCATTTCTTATTAGGCTTTTTATATAGAATTATAGAATAACTGAGTTGGGAGGGGCCTCTAATGTCACTGGATCCAACCCCCTGCTCAATTCAGGAATCCATATCAAAGGATATCTGCCAGGTGGTTGTCTAAATTTATCTTGAATGCCTCCAGTGTTGAAGCACTCACAACCTCTCGAGGCAAGGGGTTCAATTGCTGTACTGCTCTAACAGTTAAGGAAGCTTTTCCTGATATTCAACCGAACTCTGGCTTCCTATAACTTGAGACTATTACAGTATTATGTGTCCTGCACTCTGGAATGATCAAGAACAGATCATGCCCCTCCTCTGTATGACAGTCTTTCAAGTATTTGAAAAGTGTCATCATATCTCCCCTCAGTCTTCCTTTCTCAAGGCTAAACATGCCCAGTTCTTTCAGTCTTTCATCACAGGGCTTGGTTTCCAGTCTCCAGTATGTCTCTGTGTGTGTGCATGCATGCATGTGGCCTTTTAGTGAGGTTTTTTTTTTTTTTTAAAAAAAGAGAGGATAAAAACAATATTTCTGCAGAGTCCTTGAACATGCCAATTCCTTGCTTTTGTTTCTTGCTTTGGCATTTTAGTGAGTTTTTTTTAAAAGAGAGGATAAAAATAATATTTCTGCAGAGTCCTTAAACGTGCCAATTCCTTGCTTTTGTTTCTTGCTTTGGCTCCATGTCTGTTGGCACTCACCAGCTGAGTTTACTCTGAGGAGGCGTGACTCCCTGTCCCTGTAGAGTGTTGAGAAAGGAGCAGCTTTAGAATGGGCGGCAGCCTTCCTGGCGATTTTAAAAAAAACCCATTAAGTTCACTTGAGAGAGTGAGAATCATACCTCTTGGGAGTTGATTAGAGAAGGAGGAGGAGGAGGAGAGAATAGTCTGCGAGGGTTGACGGCTAGTCAGAATAGCATGGGTGGAGTGATTAATGAGATTACATTTGTTTGTTATTTATTTGTTTCAATAACAATTCATCAGATTTTGATGACTGCTGCCTTCCACCTGGCCCTTGCACCTGGAAGCAGCTGTGTGTGTCGGCTTCCTGGCGCTCTTTAGATGGAGCAAAAACCTGCTCCTTCTGCCTTATAAACAACAAGTGAGCCTCCCCAATCAGAAATACATTTCTGATTGGAAAACAATGCACAACATGGTCCTGAAACACCACTGGATGTGAAGGCATAAAGGAAGGTTAAAAACTGCACAATGTATCTGAGAGGAAATAAACACTGGCTGAACAGTGCAGCCGTTGCAATAGTCTCTCTTTTTCAGTGGTTGGTTACCAAAGCCTAGCAGTGTGTTCTCCTGAAGCATCTTTCATGGTACAAAGAGACTGAGGTCTGGTGAAAGAGAGAATGTGTTTCAGCTGAAACATGAAGGCTGTGTTCAAGTGAAACACAGAGGAGTGGAAAGATTTTGAATTAAAGCTACGGTTTTCTGGTAGTGTTGGAGTTACCAAATGTGCAGTACGCTAGAGAAGAGACTTCTGTGTCAAGGAGACTGAAAAGGGGACATTCTTGTATCACTTTCAGCATAAATCAGGCTTTGCTCTACTTTTCAGGGAGAGGAGCATAATGACATATTTGCAAGATAAATTTTTGTGAGACTTTCTCTGTATGTGTCTGTGTGTGCGTGTGTGTGTGTGCGCGTGTGTGTTGGATCTGATGGAAGCATGAAAGAAAATGACAGAGTTTTAAGGTTGGATGACTGGGAGGTTATCCAAGCTGTCTGCAGAGATGTGGGCATAGAGGTGAGAAGGAAAGGAAATATGCTTCATATTCAGAACACTTTAGGGATCGATGCAACTGCATCTCCAGAGCGTGGGAACCTTTGATTACAACTCGTGATTACTCCTACGTCAAAGTGTCACTATTAGGCCACAGTTGTCTAAATGGGATATGGTTTGTCCTTCATTATCCAAAGGAGAACTGTGTCCCCTGATTACTGTTAATTACAGTCTTTGAAAGGTAATAATAATAATAATCCCTGCTTAGCTGATGTGATCAGTGGATTTTAATCTTTCTTTCTCTTTGTGTCGTAAGGTGTTCAAATCACTAGGTTACTGCTGTGTTTTTTGGACATGTCACTTTCACATGTATGCTGCCTTGGGATCAAATGTAATTATTATTATTTCTGTAACACTGGGTAGGGAAATTTCTTTTCCAGTATCTTTCAATTGGGTGGGAGAAACAGCAGTATGTCAGGCACATTTAGTTTAGGACAGATATGTGCCTGCTTGGAGTATGTTTGAAATCCATGTTGAAATTTGTCAAGTGCCCTCTACACAATGACATTCAATTGAGTTTGAGTTTGTTATGTTATATACATAAATGCTTTGAGCCTTAATCTGTTAGCAGAAAGTTTTGACTTGCTTTCTTTAGCTATAGTGAAAGAGACCTGATGTACCATAGTGGCTGAGAGGCTGTATTAGAGATAAGAAATGCCTGATCCAAAAATCACCTCCATGGTAGCTTCACTAGGTACCCCTGGGCAAACCATTCATACTAACTCATCTACAATACGGCAGTAATAGTATTAACTATAAAGTGAAGGTGGGGGACCTTTTTTTAACCTAATGGCCAAATTGAGTTTCTGAGAAATCCTTGTGGGCAAAGCAAAAGGCTGTAGCCAGAAATACCAGCATATCATAGCTCTATGCTTTTACTGCCAGTCCTTAAGCCTGCAAAATCAGAGTGACTTGTGTTCCACATCTGTAATATCAATGTTTCTCTTCTGCCTTCTCCTTAACTGCTCCACAGCTGCCCTGTGGAAGGCTGGGGTGGCCTCCATCCCTCTGCTTGTAGACACAGGGCATGGCTTCATTTTTCCCCCACTTTGTCTATCCACAAATACCTGTGATTAAAACTGGCACTATTTCCTCTCTTTTCAGAAGCTAAGCAAGGTTGGTCCTATGTATTTAGTACTTGTGTGTAAAATCACCAAGGAACAACATGTATCCAAACTGGCATTATTCCCTCTCTTTTCATAAGCTAAGCAAGGTTGGTCCTATTTAGTACTTGGGTGTAAAATCACCAAGGAACAACATGTATCTCTAGGTAGGGCTTGGAAACAAGCCTGCCTAAAACTCTGAAGAGCTCTTGCCAGTCACAACTGACAAGGTGGGACTAGAACATTCCCAAATATTCCTGGACTGCAACTCCCAGAAATCCTGGTCAGTACAGCTAGTGGTGAAGGCTTCTGGGAGTTGTAGTCCAAGAACATCTAGGGACCCAAGGTTGGGAACTCATGGGCTAGAGGGACCCCTTAGTCTGGCTCAGTATAAGGCAGGTTCCTCCATTCTGATATGGTTTGAGCACTTTTCTGTTAGGATTGGTAATTTTAATAGTAAAGGGTTGAGAGACTGAGTGTGTATGTGTGTTGATGTCTGTTGTCTTGGACTTTAGGTCCTGAAGGAATATAATCTCTGTCCCAGCCTTGGCTGAACATAAACAGCAGTTCCTTTCTTTCCATTTAGGAATGGTCAGAGGAAATCTTCAGTCTGGCAACAAACCTGCTGGCACAGAATATGTCAAGGGATGCTTTTCTGGAAAAAGCGTAAGTGATGAAGCCCTTACTTGGGGAGGATGTTACTTTGTAGTGTGTCAGCTTCCTCCTCCTTTGTTAGAATGATTGCTACCAGTAGTTCACATGGCGACCAACTGCCTCTTCTATAAACATGCTTCTTCCTCTTTCCCACTGGCCTCGTTCGCACTCAGCTAGTGAACCTGTACTTTGCTGAAAAGGTTGGATGTGACAGATCATCATATACCTGCCGTTCACTTCTTTGTTGGCATATCTCTGTCATGTTTATTGCTGGGAATGGCTTTGTCAGCCATGTAATCACAGTTAGAAACCGAAGGATCCTCCTGACAGTAGCATGCTCATCTACCAACCTTGATGCTCACTGAAGTTCCTGGCCTGGGTATCTTCCAGCCTAATTGAATTAAGGGGAACAGTCCTTCAGCATGCAAAAGATGGCAAATTCAGATTAGCCAATATCAGAATTATTATTAGGTGTGGGTTTTTTTAAGGGGAACAATCCTTCTTCAGCATGCAAAAGATGGCAAATTCAGATAAGCCAATATCAGAATTATTATCAGGTGTGGGGTTGTTGTTTTTTTCCAAACTACAACTTGCAGAAGCTCCTAGCCAACGTAACTACTGGCCATGCTGTCTGTGGGTTTCTGGGAGGTGTAGTCAAAGAGCACTACCTTTCCCAAGATCTCCCAATAAATGACAACGCCTTCCTGAATTCCCACGTCAGTATCTTGCATTGCATAGTCCATGATAATAACTTTAAACTGGCCAAACTAAAGTAATGGAAGGGAACATGTTTCAGATCAGAAGCATTGTCAGATCAGAGTAGTTCAGTGGATGGAGCACCTCCTGGGCATACATCACAATACTCTGTGACCTAAGAAATTCCATCTAGTTCTCTTCTGGATCTTTCATGCCTCCGATCTAAGTTATTATACCCTTTGTTTTAACTTCATCCTGTGAGTGCCCAGAATTGGAGCCTTGATATACTTTTGGCTGAGCCTGATGGTGCTGTCAGTCAAATGTTCCGTGCTTCCTGGCGGGACTCAAAAGTGCTGCATGGCTCCAGCCAGGGTCCTTTCAGCCTGCCTTGCTTGCTCCTTGATGCATTTTTAACTTTCTTGCTATCTTCCATTTGGAATCCAAAACATCTTTCCCGGGGGTGAACAAAGCACTTGCCCTGCTTTGTTGCTCTGCATTTTCAGGTAAAGACAATGTTGTCTTGTATACCCAGAGACAGTTTCAGCCCCATTAAGCACTTCTGTTTCTGAGTGCAACCTACCAAATGTGTGTACTACATTCATGCAGAAGTGCCCAGCATTTCTAGGTTCATTTGGTACACCTGTGAATATGGGAGACAGCACATTCGTGTGAGTGAGAATATTTCCAAACTGGAGCTTAGAAATAACTAGTTACAACTTGTGTTGTTACCTCTAACTGATTACTCTCTGGATAATAAGCAATGCAACTAGGGGTCTTAAAGTACATTTTTGCATGCAACAAGCAACACCAAAGTTACGTAGGGGTCATGGATAATACAAATTATTTTCAAATGCTAGTTTTAAATGGCGAAAAGCCCCATGCAGTACTGCAGTCAAGCCTCTGCTCATGATCTGAGTTTGATCCTGATAGGTTCAGGTAGTTGGTTCAAGACTGACTTATTCTTCCATCCTTCTGAGGAAAGTAAAATAAGTATGGTTCAAGTTGTTTGTATAATGATGTTGTAAACCGTCCAGAGGGTGCACTAGCACTATGGGGCAGTAGATAAGTAAAAACCACAGAGAAACATTTTAAGGCATTTTGGAAACTTTGTGAAAGGAATTTTTCAGGTTTTGTGCTGCTATCTTATAAATCCTAAGTGTCAAAGAAAGCACTTTTTAATTTTGCCTAGGGTTGAATGCCAATCCACATGTCCCTAGACTCATTTGAGGGGCAATGCATATCTGTGGTTTTTGTCCTTTGCATTTTTATAAATATTTCCAAGGTGCAATATCAGAATTGGATGCCAGAGCGTATTTCTTCTGGTGATAACACTAGTACAATACAACACATTACTTGCATGGGAGGAGCAATGGCTAGCAAGAAGTAATGAGTAACATGTTCTTTTTGAAATGTGACTTTGGAAACTGTGTTGAAAACAGTATCACTTCAGACTGCAGGTAAGGAACCAGTTTCCCAAACAAGAGCAACAACAATAATAGCAATTTCCTGAGTGATTGGTTGCCTGAGTAGGATTTTTTAAATGGATTGTTGTACCTTACTGCGTGGAATGTGTTTTCATGTTGCTTATGTTTTTTTGAGCGCCGTGGTGGCGCTGCGGGTTAAACCGCAGAAGCCTCTGTGCTGTAAGGTCTGTAAATCGTCAGCTATAAGATTGAATCCACGCAACGGAGAGAGCTCCCGTCGCTTGTCCCAGCTCCTGCCAACCTAGCAGTTCGAAAGCATGCAAATGCAAGTAGATAAATAGGGACCATCTTGGTCGAAAGGTAACAGTGTCCCATGTCTAAGTCGCTGTGGCAGTCTTCCCTTTGTTGCCCCTGTTTATTTGGCCCTCACAAAGGAACATGCCCTTTCACCAGGTATTTTCCTAATACCAACTTATGTCATACACGTGTGCTGCCAATACTAAGGGTTGTAGGATGTAGGAATCAGAGGTTTAATTAAGTATTCTTTTATTGACAAGTAAATCTTCAAGGTAAATCAAGTATGAACTGTATCAGGTCTTAACATGGATTGGATTATGTATGCAATCACTTTTATTTCAAACTACTATGTACTTTTAATCAATACAGTATCTCTCTTATAGTACGTGTAACTTCATTCTTGCTTGTTCAATATCATTTATCTCAATTCCCTCTCCTAACACTCTCAACTCCTTCTCTTTTCTAAACACTAACTGCCATTCCACCTCTCCAACTGTCTCTCTCTAATTGTCCATCTAACTGTCTCTAACTCTGCCCCACCTGCCCTATCCTCCCCCTTGAGCTTCTGTGATGGACAGGCAGGAATGCCGTCACCTTTTGGCCATGTGTCCATGGAAGATTGTCTTCGGACAAACACTGGCTCTATGGCTTGGAAACGGGGATGAGCATCACCCCCTAGAGTTGAACACGACTGGACAAAAATTGTCAAGGGGAACTTTTACCTTTACCTATTTTGTTTTGTTTTGTATTCATTGATCTTTTCAATTTTGTATATTCACTGCTACTAACAGTACTGTAGTACAGCAGCCAAAACTGTGCTTTCTCATGGCGTACTGCAGTACAGCAGTACGCCATGAGAAAGTCACTAGCCTGGTGTTTTTCCTGACATGCTAGTTTTTTAATGTTCAGTGATATTTTATTTTATTTTGAACGGTATAACATCCTGTTATTTGAATCCCAACCTGAAATTTAGGGTGTCACACCCAAACACTGACTGAAATCCTGTAGCTTAGTGTAATAAGTCACAGCTGCAATATACCCATTGAATTGGTGGGGATTTGGTGAGTGACTTCTCTAGGTGCAACATACTACACTGAGCAACAGGATTTCAGCCACAGATATGCTGTCCTGTGAGATGTAGGCTACTGAGATGCTTAAAAATGTGTATTAATACTTTGCCCTTCAGCCTGCCAGTGTCCAAAGGCTTACAACAATCAGATTTAACAATAAAGCTGTCAATTTAAAATAGAGCAGCAAGACCATTTTCTGCTTCAGGAACCAACATTATTGGGCCATCTTTTTAAATCTGAAAATCAGTGTATTTTATTTTTAATTTATTGGTAATGAATAGATTTTTGATAGAAAGCATGTGAATTCTTTATAAGGGATTGCACTAGCGTAGTATGTCAACTATTTTGTGAAGGTCTTCTAGGTAAAGGTAAAGGTTCCCCTTGACATTTAGTCCAGTTGTGTCCAACTCTAGGGTGCGGTGCTCATCCCCGTCTCCAAGCTGTAGAGCCAGCGTTTGTCTGTAGACAGTTTCCGTGGTCATGTGGCCAGCACGACGAGACACGGAACGCTGTTACCTTCCCACTGAGGTGGTACCTATTTATCTACTCACATTTTACATGCTTTCCAACGGCTAGGTTGGCAGGAACCGGGACAAGCGATGGAGCTCACTCTCCTAGTCCATTCATTCCCCAAGGACATACACCATTTTTACCTTGACCACCTTTGGGCAGCCTTAGTTGTACAAAGCCCCATTATCTTCCAAAGAAGAGGTCTGAAATACACTCTGGCCCTTCGAATGCCTTCCCAGGAAACATATATTTGCATTGATAAAGATGAAAAACAGCAATTTGAAAGCGGCCCAGAAGCAGATGAATAGCCAGTGTAATTGTTTTTTTAAAGAAGGTGGAGAATGAAAAGAAAAAAAGAAAGAAAGAAAAAACAGCTTGAGCCCATTCACAATAATGCCTCTGCATTTTGTACCTCCTGTAACTTTCAATCCATCTTCTAGTGAACCAAGCACATTACAGCCATGTCAATCTGGAGATTGCCACAACCTGGTGGCCAGATCCCTAGGCAAGAACATTTTCATGTGAACAAGGTAGCTAGAGTCATACATATGTATTAGACCAAAGGAATCATCTCAGCCTTCATGCTAGGTGTGCAGGAAATATATCACTGGATCTTGGCACTTCTGCTTAAGGTTACAAACAACAAGTTTCAGACTTATCTCGTTTGTGTTTCCACTTTGATATTTGCGATTAGTTAAACAACATGAGACATGATTTATGCTTCCCCTTGTTAATGGCTTTGTGCCTTTGTGCCTTTGCACTCAGTGGAGTTTCACTGGTAAATCTATTCATGTGAAACTTATAGGTCTGAGATGTTGATTCAAAGTGCTTTGGAACAAAAAGTACAAAGGGTGTTGATGAAAATATCCTGGGATAATAATAGTAGATGCTCTCCCCCTTCCTTCTTAAGATTTTAAAATAGAAATACCTAAATATATCTAAGTTAGTTTATATAAACGATTGATGACCTAAGAATTGCTAAGAGGAAATTTAGGGGACTGAAATAATGTGTGTATGTGCTTCACCTTCACTCTTTCCACTGTTTATTCTGTCTGGGGCTAAAGGATTCTTGCCTGTCTACAGTTCTCATCAGTTCTGCCCAGAATGGTAAGGAACTGTGTAGCTGAGCAGCTAATGGCAAGGTCTATGGAGGGACCACAGCTATCTTTCCTGCCATCCTCCTAAACCACAACACAGACCTCCAAAAGTCTTAATAGATCCTTTCTAGAACATCTGCTGTGTTAGAATGGTGGACTAGCTGGCATTTAGGCTTATACTCCGATAGGAGAGGATAGGTGCATTTGTGATGCCAGTGTTTGCTAAGCTGCCAGAAGCGTTGAATTGGTTAGTCATAGGATCCTCTGCCAGGAAAAATTCAAATTTAATAATTGCATGCTATTTCCATGATTCTCATATTTTACTTGGTTATTGCAGTGCTGTCTGTAACCAATTTGTGCATTATGAAGCACAATAAGGAGGCATTTCCTCTGTCCAGTTAGGAGAAAATATTGGACTTTATGTTCATTGGTGATTCTCCACTCATGTCCTAATCTTGCTTGTATCAATGGTTCATTGACTCCCTCCCTTACTACTCCTAAGCCAGCTTCTGGTTGGGTTTGGGAGTGCCATTGGAAAAACATTCACTCCTTTCTTACCCCAGGGTTCTTCCCAATATTTACAGCTTGGTGCATGCCATAAAACGTTGAAAAATAACTCTTATATCAATTAACCATAGAATAAGTATTCTAACATCCCACAGCCTGTGTCTAATCCTTTCTCTTCTTTCCTCTACTGTCTTGAAATGTACAGGGTTCCTTCATACAACATTGTATTTCATAAGCCAGAATCCCATTGGGGATTTACCCCAGCATAAGTGTAAATGTGTACATTGCGATGGCAAACTGCTGAGATATCAATGAACTGCCACTCACATTCCTTGTCATGTACCAGTCGTGTGACTCAGGGCACAACAAGAAATACAAGCAGCAACTTGTTAGTTAGCGGCAGTTGGCTGTCTCAGTTTACACAATTGCACTTATGACGGCATAACTCCCCGATAGAATTCTGGGCACTGTCTTATCTTAATTGTTTGGAACTTCCATTGAAGGTGAAATATCAGAGAACATTTTGATAATGGAGGGTGGTGGCTTGTGGTTTTCCAGATATTTTTTTTTGAGTAAATATTCCATCTACCTTTTTCAGCATAGTCAGTGGAGAGAGATAAGGGGAGACCAGTACAATGGGGCAGCACAAATATCCCCTACATGGATAACAGATAGCCCATTGTCAGACAGAGGTTGCATATGAATGACTTAACAGTCACTGTAGTTGATCATGTAAAAACAATTATGACAAAGTATTCTTGAAGGCTTTCGTGACCGGGATCCGATGGTTGTTGTAGGTTTTTCAGGTTGTTTGGCTATGTTCCAAAGGTTTTTCTTCCTAACTGTGGTAACATGCTCTGTATGGAGGACTTGGAACAGCGTCTATTCAATGCTGTATACGAAGCTGGAGTGTCCTCTCCAGGGCACGAAGCCTGGGTAAAATAATATGGAGGATAGGCTGTTACCCAAGCAGCAAATCCCCCCTCTCCCCATCACTGAAATACTCCAGTGGAAAGGCAAGAGCCAATACAACTGGTTCCAGTGATGGCACAGGAGTTACCAGAATGATACGAACTGCCTCCGGGCCTCTGGCTCTGGATTTTGCCTCGAGGTTGACTCCTGAAGCCTTTTCCATCAGTGGATATAGCCACAAGGCAGTGGAGGCTTGAAGTCAGAGTTTTCTTTCTCACAACAATACACCCATAACAATAAGTACCCTGACCACCATAATCACCCAATCTCCTGAAAAGGACAAAAAGCTGATCCCACAGCTACAAATACTCAACTATCCCACACACTACACCACAGACAGAGTTCCTACTCCTGTCCTCTGAAAATACCAACCACAGAGACTGGCAAAACATTAGGAAGAAAAACTTCCAGAACATGGCCAAACAGCCCAAAAAAATCTGCAACAACTGTCCATTGTGACAAAGTTGACTGTAGTCCCAGCAGTTTATATTTGCTTCATTTTGAAGCTCTCTGTCTGTCCCATTAGCACTGCTTTTTTTAGATGTTCTGTCAACTGCATGAGAACCACTTGTCACTAACAACACCATGCCATGATAGTGGGAGCTGATTGTGTGAATCTTTCCAATTTGCCAGTTCTGTGGGAAAGACCCATATGCTTGTCCTCTGCTTTGCTAACATGGTTGCTGCTTGAGAGCTGTTTGCAGATATGGGGTTCCTATGCAGTACCACTGATATGGGCATCATGCCTCAACAGTTTTATAATTTATAAACAAGGTCTTCAGAATGTTCACATTCATACCCTGTTTCAAGTCATAGGTCTTTAATGTGCACAGTGTTTTGTCTGAAGAATGCTATAAAACAAATCTAGTTTGGCAAAATTCCATCTCCGATTTATCTCCATGGAAGATTGGAGATTACTTCAAAATCTGCACTTGGAGATGTCATTATAAGTAAAGATAACTGGCTTGAGGTTTCAAGACATTAAGCATTTTCTTGGAAATGTTAGAACTCATAGGATTATGATTTCTTTTTTCAAAAGTACAAAGCTCACAGTTATTCTATGGACAGCACTCTGGAAAACAAAACAGGTTTTGGCATTATGGTTTGCAGTAATTTCTGATAAGTACTTTTTTCCCCTTTTGCCTAGGTACACAAAACTTAAGTTGCAAGTAACTACAGATGGACGTATCCCTTTGAAAAAGTAAGCTATATTCCATTATAATGTGCTGGATTTTCCGGGAGTCAATTTGTGCTATTATTTTTCATGTTCTAGCATGATTTTATTGCTACATGTGGAGAAAACGCACTCTGCAGTGTCATCACTCAAGCTGAGTTCTTCTTTCTGCAGTGATCAAGTGCCTGGGTTGTACAATTTCAGCCAGGGGCTTATATGACTAACTAATTTTTAGTAAAACAGCCTTATCCCCTTCAAGAAAACTAGAATGCTGGAAGGAACGCTAAGGCAGAATCTTTCAGCCAGTTAAAGGATTTTATGTTAGTGAACATTCCATCATGAGTGCTCCCAACTGCAGCCTTGAGTAGTACAGCCCTGGAGCAATGGGATCTTCATGGTGAAGGATGGGGAGGAATTGGCTTTCTGAGAAAAGCCAACCCAAGTTGCACTTCTGGATTGCAATTATCTTTATTTTTCACTTTGGAAAATGTGACATGCATTTACCCATGCATTTTTTTAAAAATGTGATGGGAAATTTTTTGAGAAGAAATGCATTAATTAGGAGAATTACTCACAGAACTGCACACCTTCAAAATATTTTCCAGTATGTGTGTCTTTTTATGCATTTCTCCAGTTGTGTATGTTTTTGTACATTTTCCCTACAATATAAATTTCTGTTACCACCTTTTTAATGTATGCATTGTGTGTATATCTCTCAGGAGTTTCTTTTCCTTTGCATTTCACAACAAAAGAAAAGGTGTTCTTGAAATAACCAACTGTCAGCCCATTTAAAATGGTAGAAATCAGTGAATAACCCCCAAGAATTGACCAGCTACCAAGGCGGATTTTTATTCCTTCTGTTTCTTTCTCCTTTCTAGCATTTATCGCTTATTCTCTTCAGACAGAAAGCGTGTTGAGACTGCACTTGAAGCTTGCAATCTTCCATCTTCAAGGGTAAGCAGTGAGCCCTCAACCTTCATCTCCTGCCGAATCCTGATATGAATGTGGGCTTACACTCTGCTCAAAACCTAGCCAACCTATCAAGTTTTCAGCTCTCTTGTTTGTTTTTCAAATGCTCTTGGGCTTCTCTTTGGGTCTTTTGGCACCTAATTGTAGTTCAGATATTCAGGTAGATCTCAAGTTTGGCAGATACTGTATATCAATTAAGCCTGCTCACATATCTTTGCTAGGTGATGGCAGAAAAAGTGTTGCAGAAAAAGAGGAAACAGGATCAAACATCAACAAGGTAGCAGACATTCCACAAAAGTATATTCAGTATCATGTCATGTTCCTTCAAGACAGGAAATCCTCCTTTTATATACTCCCCAAAAGCAGCGGGGGGAGGGGGAGGGGAAGGAATCTTGTGATCTAGAAGAGAGCTAGCAGCCCAATCCTAAAAGTGTTTATACTCTGTAGTCCATTGGTTTTCAGTGTGACTTCTTCTGATCTAAGTGCATGTTGGTTTGTAGCAAGAAAGAAATATTCAGCCTGAATGTGTTGTGAAGTTTGTGTTATGTTTTTAGAAATCTTTTTCTAATGGAAAGGAGTGGGAAAGGGGAAAACGTAAAATAAAATTATCCTGGAAACGACATCCAATTCTAATTGCTATATGAAAAAGGAAATCTTGAGGACCAATCTCTAGGGTTCTGGAAGACTAATAGACAAGACCAAGAGGCTAAAGGTAATGGTAGGTTCTATTCCCACACTTTACAGCCTGCCCACAGTTGTCATTTAGGAGGCAAATGCATCAGTGTTCAAATCAATAAGGCAAATCAAGAACTTAAAATGTTGTGTCAGTCACTATGACAAAGAAAGACTTCTGGTTTTGTCTGTCTGAGTAGCTGTTCTGCAGGCAAATATAAATTAATGTAAAATGAGAAATATGTGCATGTCTGTATGACAGTTCTCCCTTTAATTTTCTTCATAATTGCCATGTAAGATGGGGAAGAGAGAATTTGCTCCTTAGGCTCAGTCAGGGTAAAACATCCTCTGTTTACTGCTGTACAAAACTAGTTACATAATGTTTAATTTTAAATTTTAAACATAACTAGAATTCTTTAATATATACAGAATTGCTGTTAAAATTACTTGCCCTAAAGCAGTATTCCACTTGTGTATCATGCAACTAGCAACATATTCTTAAGTTATCAACAAATCTCTAAACAACTGTGAGCATTGAGAAGTTGTTGAAACACATTGATTTTCAGTTGACAAGACTCAAATTAGCCATCAAAAGTTCTTTGGCCCCATGGATGACTGAGCAGTCATTAAGGATGTAATGAGCACCCAACAAATTTTTTGTTTCCTTTAATCTGATGTGTCTCAACTAATGAGACACCTCAATCCTGGTGAGATTCCTAGTATCCAGGCAAGACAAAGAGGGCTTGTCAGGGCTTCAGACATTTCCGTAGTCTGTGCAAAACTAAAACAAACTTTCCATATCAGAATTAAAGCACACAAACACATATGTGTAAACAACTCCTCCAATATTTCTAGCTTGTTTCTTTCTGTGTTGATTGTGTTAAGAAGAACAGACAATAAGTTTGCAAACCAAAATAGTTTTCATTGTCTCTGGACTAATCAAAATACAGTACTGAAATTCAAAGTGTTAATTATTACATTCAAGCACAACCTTGTTTAATAATAGAATTATAGAATAATTGAGCTGGAAGGAGCCTATAAGGCCATCGAGTCCAATGCCCTGCTCAGTGCAGGAATAATCAATCTGTGACTGCAAGATTTAATTCAATTGATTTTTTTCTCTTGCCCCTTTTGGGTTCCCTTTTGACCTGGAGAAGTCTTTGGGAGCCTAGGAACTGAGGCTGTGTGTGTCTTTCATAGCCAGATATCACCTCTGGTTCATAAAGGGTGATCCCAGTCCCATTGGCTGGACCAATGATTAAAGGTCCCACCCTCCATTCCTGATGCTCCTAAAGGCTTCCCTAAGTCAAAAGGAAGCCCTGCAGAAACGTAGAAGCTGGAGGAGTAGGATAGGAAGCTTTTAATAAAATGATTAATGCCTTGGATGAGTTTGTGCAGGGAATGCTTATCAGTTTTGTCGAAGACACAAAATAGGGTGGTAGAGCCAATACACTGGAAAACAAAAACAAATTGAAAAAGATTAGGATTGGTTCTCGATCATCTTAGAGTGCAGGATGTATAGTAATGGACTCAAATTTCAAGAAGCCACATTTCGGTTGAGTATCAGTCCAAACCTCCTAACCGTCAGAGCAATACCAATCACCTGAGGAGGGTGGCGAGTGCTCTTCCAATTCCATTCCTATGATTCCATGAAATTGAATTAAATATTACCATTGCTGGCTGATGACACCATCCTATGTCTGTGGTGTAAAGTTACACTAATAGGATTTCAGCCTGGGTGTGATATCAAACTGGGAAGAGTCAGGTGGGTTGAGAACACCTGAACAAGTGGGAGTCCAGCCCTTGTCAAACCTGTGAAGCCACTGGTTTAAATCAACTAATGTAAGGTTGATTCCAAACAGATGCCTCCGTAATAGGGGAGGAATCCTTCACACAGCTATTCTGTCATTCTTGAAGGAGCAAGAATGTTGTAGCAAGGAGAAAAGACAGAAGCAGTAATTAGAAGCAGAAGGGAACATCATCTGACATGCACCCATCTTGCTGGTCAAATTCTTCATAGCAATTTTTCAACAAATAGGAGTCTCTTCTGGAGACACTCTTAAGTAATTTGAGAGCAAAACACCGGCTTTGATAACAGTAATTAAGTCTGCGTTTGACTCTAACTTCATATTCTTCCACGAAAGTTATATTTATAAAGGAGCTACTCTTTGTGCAGTAGTTGTTTTGTTAGGGATTGCTCTCTGTAGTAACTTGTAGACTGGTATAAGCAGCACATGCCAAGCAGAACCTATGCCTGCCAAACAGGAAGTAAGAGAAAGTAGAGCCTCCATTAACTGCTGTAAGAATTTTATAGCAATTTGGGGGCAAAATTAATAAACCACATAAAAAGGAATAAGTGTTTTTTAAAATGTGTATTTTCTCTCTGGGGATCATAAGAGTGATAAATAAGCAACACATAATTGACGATTAAACTGTGTTCTCACTTAAGAATCCTTTTCAACTGCTAATTGTCATCTAATAGTTTTCAAGAACACTGGAGGCGGAAAAAGAAAATTAGGACACTTCATCCTCTTTTTTTCTTGAGAAAAGAACATGGTTCTTAAAAATTAAGCCAATAGCTCACAGGTTCATGACATCTCTCCTGATATTCAAATTGTAGGTTGCAATAAATAAGCAAAGAACAGTTATGTGGAAGGAACAGTTAAAACAAGGTAAAAGATGCAGTAGTTTGAACTTCTTTTTGCTGTGTTCATTCACACTATTTCTATCTTGACCAGTTCAGTTGTTATATTCAAGATGGCTTATCATATTTATATTACTCTGAAAAATATATATTGCAGAATAAGTGCAATCTGATAGTAAAACATAAGGAAATACAATCACAAGTACTTTAAAAAGGTGGAAAATTTTATGGAACATGCTGGTCAATGCCTAGGGAAAGAAATATGTTGTCGCCTTGCATGTAAAGGCTACCAAAGGTGGTTCAAAGCTGAATGTATATGGAGAGGGCTTCAGTTTGACAAATGAGACATCACCAGTGAGAAGGCCACAGACTTCTGGTAGCTGTAGAAGAGGTATTCATGTCAGACTGTGCAAGCATTACAGCAGGACTCCCATATCCACATGGGATCAGTCCGAAGCTCCCCGACAGATGCTGAAAACATGGATTATAGTGAACACTATTTTAATAGCAAACACTATACATAGCATGATCTCTGCCTTCTTCTATTGTCATGTGATCAGTTCAAAAAACTGAATTCTGTCTACTTCTGGAGCAAATCCTATATTATTTGCCAGTGTAGTTGCAACCCATCATTCTGTACACTGTACCACACTGGCTCTCAATATTTTTTATAGCTGGATAAATTCATATGGGAAGAGAACAACATCCTTTGGGGATTTTCAGAGCAAAACTGGCATTTTGGATTGCCTCCAGCAACAAACTGGTAGCCAGGAAAACTCTTTCTAAGATGGCCTTGCTCCTACTTTTTCCAGATAAAAGTGTCGTAGTTGTATTCTGAAGTTTTGAAAACACTCCATATTGCAGGCTCACATATAGCCCACACTGCATCTCTATAACCTGCCTACAGAACTAGGTGGGTCCCAATGATTTCCTGTTGGCTCTTGAGGGATTTTCTGATCAGTGTTCCAGAAATAGGGGATCTTTGGGAAAATCCCCTCCCCTCTATCAAGAAAGAAAAGGAAAAGGGAAAATTGACAAGATCCCTCCTCTGTATGTACTTCCGGTTTCCTTGGCAACTAAACAAAATAGGAGAATAGATAATGGCAGTGATTTCCTCTGTCACTACCTTGTGAGTTGCATAGCCTCAGCAATATTCAGACAAAATAAACTTGTATCTGGCTGCAAAACACTTCTCAGCTTTTGATGAGGTCTCTTATACTTGCCTTGCCATTTTGGCTAAATGTCCCCTGAGAGGAGAAAAAAACTCTCTGTTGTTAACCCACCACCACCTTCCTGTATGTTTGTACCGTGTTCCCCCCAAAATAAGACAGGGTCATATATTAATATTTGCTCCAAAAATGCATTAGGACTTATTTTCAGGGGATATTTTCTATCTTTAATGTACAGCAATCTACATTTATTCAAATACAGTCATGTCATCTTCTGCTTGCTGCAAAATGCTGCACAAGGGTGGAGGGTGGGATTTCATTTCACTGGGGCTTATTTTAGGGGTAGGGCTTATATTACGAGCATCCTGAAAAATCACACTAGGGCTTATTTTCAGGTTAGGTCTTATTTTCGGGGAAACAGGGTACTGAATATTTAGCTTGATCTCACTCAGTGCTGAAGTGCTGGTTTCTTTTCTTCCCCACAGTATAATCCCGGACCT